CTAGTATTTAAATCTAGTCTAGTACTTAGTTCAAGTCTAGTACTTAAATTCAGTCTGGTCCTTAGTTCGAGTCTAGTCCTTAGTTCGAGTCTAGTCCTTAGTTCTAGTCTAGTCCTTAGTTCAAGTCTAGTACTTAGTTCTAGTCTAGTACTATAATCTAGTCTAGTCCTTAGTTCTTGTCTATTCCTTAGTTCTAGTCTAGTCTTTAGTTCTAGTTTAGTATTTAAATCTAGTCTAGTACTTAGTTCAAGTCTAGTACTTAAATCCAGTCTGGTCCTTAGTTCGAGTCTAAACCTTAGTTCTAGTATAGTACTTATCTAGTCTAGTACTTAATTGTATGCGTGTAAACTTCAAATTGCTTGTGGCTTGAAAGTATTGTAACTGTCTAGAAATTGAATAATCAAGGCAAGATTTTCATTCTGAATATATTCAACTCTAGCTTCCAAAAGTGAATACAAAAAGTTTAATTTCCATAAATACTTTTGCAAAAATGCACCCATAAAGTTTTTCTTTTGATTCTTTTATAAGCAAAATGGGATAAAAATAAGCATTAGACAATAGGCACGCTGTCAGTGAACATGAAGTGAGAGAGAAAACCGCAACAACCTCAATAAGAGGTCAAAGGACTTTGTACTGTGCTAACTCATATTTGTTTCATGTTCTGTATGTAGATATGCTCTTGCTTCTGTTATTTTTGAATCTAATGTGGTTATTATAGATTTGACACCTAGATTTAGTTATCGAAAATTCAGCAGAGCTGTACAGTTGTGGGTTTAAATTGTAGAGCTTTGCATCTCATTAGCACTTATTGGACATTCACAGCAGGATTTTAATTAATGTAAAATAAATATTGATAAAGTTCATTTTGTATGTAAATATACTGAGTATTTATGGAAAATTTCACTGAATCTCAGTTCCATTTTCGGACAAATTAAATAAATTTTAAATAAAAGTTTTAATTTGCAAAAAAAAAGTCGTTTAAGGTTTTTTAATTAAATAAAACTTTAATTTGGCAACAAAATGAAATTAAGCTGTCAAATTGTTGGTTTTTGTATGTTGTATGGTTTTTTTGGTTTATAAGGAATTCTGAAAATTAGATTAATTACTCAAATTATGAAGAAAATATACAGAATTTAGCAAAATTATTACAAATTCTAGCCTTTAAAGTTCAACTGTAAGGATCAAGGATATATAAATTTTAATAATTTTAGTCTTAAAGGGTGGAGATAGATATGATCGGGCTGTCTAATTTTTAGACAGTATTACACTTGGTATTGCTAGATAGAGCTAGCTTTAGGCCCCATCTAAGGGAGTGCATAGATCACAATTGATCTGTACGGCCAGAGAAGTAAGTAAGTAAGTCTAGTTTTTTGAGAAAGAAAGGAGAAGGATCTACAGATAGTCTTTTAAGACAGAATTTGGGAATCTAATTCAATAATATTGACTATACTAATTGGGGTCCTGTAGGGGTTTGGTCAAATTAATAATTTACATCCCCAAATGACAATATGTAGGTACCATGAAAGCCACTCAAATTAAAGATTTTAAGTAGCATCGATATAGCATTTGCATTCTTATTCTAAAGTGTCTTATATGCTAGCATCTAAAGCTATGATGCACAAATGCATAATCTATCAAACCTAATCCTAGTTGATCTCATAAAACCTCCAAAACCTCTCAATCTACACTAAATCCATATCATCTGTAAATATTTTCATCATGTAGTGTAAAATGTAAAACAGAAAACTTTAATCACTAAAAAATACATGGAAGCGCCTCTAGAATAATAATCTTTCTGACTACGTGCCCAGTGCCAGTCTCTCAATATGTCTGTACTCAACTCTAGTTTTAAAGTAAAAACAAAAAAAATAAATATTTTTCTCTGTAGCGTGTGGAATAAAACTGAGACAAAAAAAAATCTACAAAAAAAAGGAAAAATGTTTGTAAAAAAAATAAAATTAAAATGAAAAGCATGGAAAACCATAAAATGGTCTCTGAAACTAAAGTGAAAAATAACAAATAAGAAACCACAAAAAAAAAACTAAAAAATTCTTTTTTTTATTCTCTTTTTTTCGGTATTTCTCATTTTAATGCTCTGGTGAGTGACAGGAGGCAACTCACTGCTGTTTCTCTGACTCACAAATAAGGAACAAAAACTTACAGTTTCATACCTGAAGAAGATTTGTGCAAATCGGAGGGCAATCCTAATAAACTTAAGATGACATCATCTTCAAGGCTCGTGGCAGAGCTTCTTGCTGATGGATGATAATACGATGGTACAAATGTTGACGATGTTTGCGTATCGGCTATAAATGATTTTTTTTTGTGTTTTTTGGCTCATTTAAATATTTTTTTTGCATATATGCAAATATTGCTTTACAAGAATTATGTGTAAAACTTTTTTTTCGACATGTATTTTACGAAAAAAAAAAAAAAACATAAAAAGAAACATCGCAAAAGCATAAAGTTCCAACGGAAAAATATGTGTACTAAAATTTTAAAGCTTTTTTGATTTTCGAATGAGCTTTTAACGGTTTTGAAAAAAATTCAAAAATATATAAAAAAGCTCATTTGAAAATTAAAAAACCGTTAAAGAATTTTGTGGTGCGATATTTAAAATGAAAGAAAGACGTTAAAATAAATGTCCATCTAGAAGCTCAAGAAACGCTTTATACTTCTAGTCACGTAAGCGCGTTGAAAACAAAATAACAAATAAACATTACAGATGAGAAAAGTAAAGTCAGCAGTTTATGAGGAGAACAAAAGGAGCATGTGAAAAAGTTCATCAAAAGAAACATTTTTAAACAAAAACAAAACATTTAAAAAAATGAAAAATCAAAAGTTAAATACATTCAAGAATGAAAAAGTTCTCTTTTTTTTGTTCTCATGTCTTCATGTTACTCTACATGATAATTAATCTTTATAATTGAACGTGAATTCAGCGAAAGAAAAAAGATGGAAAATGAATTTTTTGTTCTTAAATGCATGATCCTTAAGGAGCTTTTGAAGGATTTTTGTGTTTAGAATTTTTTGAAGTCAGGATTTTTTTAGTGGAAAAATTGATTTTAAAGAATCAAATCCTCTAAGTAGAGTCCAGCATCGTATAGATTAAAATTTTAAAAAATAAAAAAATCCAGACCCTCTTCTAGCCTTTCACAAAGTTTAAAGCATCACATCTTTGTATATCCAGTAATTTTGAAAATTTATGATGCGTGTTTGATTAAACTACAGAATGAAGCTTCGAAAAAAAAAAATATATAAATTTTTTTAAGGAGGTCTAGTACCCTATTAAACCCCAGCACAAGAGTGCTTAAACTATTCACAAGTAATCGAACCCTTAAGAAACTCCAATTCTTATGTAAGGCTACAGCTTTAATTTAACAAGATTCTTCTAGCTTTAACCCTAAAGCAGTATTCCTAATCACTGGATTCATCCAAGATTAATTCCATAAACTATCTCGTCCATCCTGAATTGACTGTTTCTCTTAAAATCATTAAAAATTCCTGACAATAAAATCAATTTTGCTCCAAATAATCCCAACAAAAACTCATTCACAAGATACAAAAAACAATATCTAGCTCGATTTTTTTCCACAGTCAAGAAGATGCCAGCCCAAAAGAATTTCATTTCTACTTTCTCAAACAAAAGTTATGCAAAAAAACAAAAGACTACAAAAAAATGGAAATAATTTCTGTTCTTCTAGGAATTTCAAGCATAAAAAAAAGTTTATATCTAAAAACTTTTCATTTCTTTAATATGCTGTATCTACTCTCAAATGTACGCTAGCAGAAGTGATATAATACTAAAGGAAATCAAGATAATTCAAATGAAAAAATAAACTGAAAAGGCTGAAAAATAAAATTAAAAGAGAAAAAAATAATAAAATGTAGATTTGAAGATTTTTTTTCGACGGCAATTAAGGAAGTTTTAGATGGTGGTTGGCTTTTTTGTGATACCCGCAATTGTTAAGAACAATCGAGATTGTTCTTTTTATAGGATGCTGGTTTGGTGGGTTTTTGAATAGTTTTCGACTGTTAACTTAGCCCCAGGCGCGTAACCAGGGAGGGATTTGGGGGACAAATCCCCGACGTTAACAGAAATTTCTTCATTTTGCTAGGAGTTTTATGAAAAAACCATAAAAATCCCCCCTTCACTGTGAATTTTCCATATAATTTTTTTTGACACCCCCCCACCCCCTTTTCAAATCCCTGGCTACGCCTTTGCTTAGCACCTATGCTATTGCTCAGAGCTTACTCTTGAAAATTCCTTAAGTTTTCTACATGATGTTCAGAATATCTTTAAAAAAATTCACTGGCTTGGTTTTTATTCGAATTGGAACGAAGAACCTACAATAAATTAGGTACTTAGAAAACTATGTTGCGCAACCGACACAAAGTTGGGATTTAAAATTTATTTGGAAGCTTAAAGTAAACAGACTTGGTCTTTTATGTGTCGCTGATAGTTAATAGATATGTTTGCAAGGCGTATACACTAGTGATTATTCCCGAAAATCCCAAAAAATTACAAATAAATCCCAGCACTTCCTGTCATCAAACTTTGAATCAACTTTAGTAGGGGTTTTGAGTGGGATCCCTACTTTGTGTCGCTTACGCAACATAGTATACGCCTTGTATGTTGGTTAAGGGTAGAACCTAGCAAAACTTCGAAGTTAAACCCAAAAGAAATCTTAGTTTATGGTAAAAGTAGAAATCGTTCAGAAATTTAATCTACACCGAATTAAAGGCTAGTTTAGTTCATACAAATCCAGAATTTCATACACGAATGATTGAGCTACCAATTAAATTTTTGAAAAACAATAGGAAAATCATCAAGGTCAAAACATCTTTGGATTGAACTTAGTTCCAGAATCATCGTTGATTATAATCAACTCCCCAGCAAAAATTGATTATGAAGCTCTAAAACCAATCCAGCAGTAACAGAAAAAAATCTCCAAACCTCCCTAAAGCATAAGAAATAAAAATAAATCATAAATAATTGTCACATAATGAAATAAAATTTTTATTTCGTCAAGAAAAAAAAAAGTTATTAATTAAACTCTTTCAATTATCTCCGTCAATGAAATGATGAGTAGTAGTAAAAAAAGTTTTTTTTTATCTAATCATAATACAATACACAAAAAAAAAGTTTCTTACTCAAAAAAATAATGTTATAGACATAAAAATTGTTAATTATAAGACTAACTTAAAATCTACTACAATAATGATAATTATGATGACAGTAGGGCTTTGCTTTGACTCTCATTAATTTAATTTTAAGAACAAGAGTTTCGGTTGGATGAAGGAAAAATTCAAATTGAGAGAATTGTCAAATTTGCAGCTAAATTTTCACATTAGCAACAAAGTTGATTTCATTAAAATTTTTACCGCTCAAATTTTCCATCTAAAAACAGTGCAAAAAGGAACTTAATGTAATTAAAAAGAACATTTTTGTACGAAAAAAAAAGTCATAATTAAATTACAAATCCCGAAAATAAACCCGATGTAAAAAAAAGTATTTAATTGAATTTAATTTCCTTATTGCGGCAGGAGACATGTTAAAGTAAAATACCACGAATTTTTTTTTATATCCTAAATTCAAGAATATATGGAAGATTCCTTTATAAATCAAAACCATCACTCGTTTCACTTGTGTTTGCGAGAAAAGGAATTTTCCTCATACGTGGAAAATACATGACGATAAAAAGGAAATTTTCTCATTTTTTTTTTTCTTTTCTGAAACGAGTGCGGTGATTCTTATCTTCCGGTATGGTTCTGTATGTTTAAATTAAACAGACGATACATTTTGTTACATAATTTTGAAGGTGTATTCGTGACGCACTAAGGAGGGAGTCGATATTGAGCTTTGGGAAATTTTTTTTTGTGATTTTTAATTGGGGATGATGAGAATCTAAGGAATATTGATCTGATTCTTAGAGCTTTTTGAATATTATGAGCTTGGAAATCGACTTAAAATAACTTTAATCTGCTTGTTGTTAATTTGCGTCTGCATCCTCAGGGTATAAATCAGCACTACTCAATGATCTAAGATTCATTCAAGGATGTGCCAATCAAGCGGATTCTTAACCTAACATGAGAGGTGAGAATAGGAATTTTGAATGAAAGATTAAGAGGTAGTCATCCAAAAACCTACAAGCTCAACTTCTGCTTCTATTTTTCTAAGACAATCAACTCAAAAATCTATTTTTCTTCTCAAATCACTTCCTTTGACCTTTCTCTCACTTTACTCAGCACATAAATTCATAAATTTAATCAGACCATTTACTTTTCGTTCTTCTTTAAAAATATCTTCTTACAACTCATTTTTAAATATTTTTATGAAGACTTTTGCATATTTTCCATACTGCGAGGGTTGCAAGAAAAAAGAAGTATTTTTTAGCAGTCATAATTTTGAAATGAAATTTGTCAGACGTGTTTGAAACAACATATTTAAAATTTTGGATATGAAAATTTTAAGAAAATAAACTTGTTGGGATGAAAAATATTATTTCTGTAAATATAGCACCTTAAAATGATGAGATTTTATTATTTTTATTTTTTAAACGTTTTTATAAAAGGTTGAGGGCTGATGAAGAATTCGGAGGTTGTTTAAGATAAAGAATGAAAAGAAAAATTCTGAAGGTTTACTCGGGAGTAAAAAAATCCTTTTGTTGAGATTTTTTTTTGCAGCGTTAGAAATTTTCATGGTCGAGTTGCGGAGTTGATTGGAAATTCTGCAGTTTTTGGGTATTGAATTTTTTTTCTGATGAATGTTTCGGTCTATAGCAGAGGCATAGCCAGAAAATTTTTGACTTTTGTTGTTGAGCTTTTTTACGGACTTCTATGCTAGTTTAAGGACACAAAATGAGTTACACCGCCTTGTAATAGCTAATAGGCTTCTGATTAACCTTGCAATGTAGAATTAAGCTTCTCAGGTCATCATTCAGTAGACACACACACACATTAAAGTATCTAAAATACGTCTCAGTTCTTAATTCAGAATTAATTTGTTTATCAAAAATATCCAAAATTCTGTGGATTAAATTCTAAGCGACTTTTAGTCTCAAAAATCTACCATAATCATACGTAAGCCGTACATCAATGTTCCATTTTCATCAGAAAATTTAAACATCTTCTTAACTCAATTTGTTTTCCCTTTTCCTTCGATTCTGTTCTTAAAATTTCATTATGAGAGCTTCTTTTTTGTAATAATTTTCTTTCGTTTCTACTTCATCTATTTCGCATTTAACATACATAAAAATAATTTTTTTTATCTACACAATATAATGAAATAATAATAATAATAAAAAAAATTCTAATTCAACTAATCAGAAAGAATCACTTTCATTAATTTAATTTTCAAGCCCTACATTTTCTTCTCTTGTTCATTTTTGCTTTCTATTCTTATTTTCTATGATAATTCAATTAATGAAAATGAGAAGGAGAAGAATTGAAAAAAAAATGTTAAAAAATTGCACCATAGACTAAATAGCTCATCGATATTATTACCGAGTAATGGGAGGGTTTTGGGGGGCATTCATTTAGTCTTGTTAATTATTATTTAAAATTATAATTTTTTGAGTGACATGCCACACAATTGGGAGGTCTTTTCTTGTTCAAGGAAGAATATTGTGAGAGAATATCCTCAAAATAATCGCAAAGATCAATAAAAGCTCACATTGTCGTGACTTGTAACTCAAAAATACTGGTTTGTTTAGATTTTTAACCGATGAACTATGGCTGTCGTGTATTCTTGGATTGAAGCTACATCCTAATTTGTGATTTTATAATCATTTATAGCTCATAAATGTTAAGATTCTACTGAACAAATTTAGATCCAAATCGATCAACAGTCAAATTTGACATCCATTCAACCAAGTTCATTTAAAAAAGTAAACCAGTACGAGGCTTTATCCCTAATCGTTTGGGGTATCTAGCTGCATTTATTTTCATCATTAAATTAACCAAACGAAACTTTACCAAACTAAGAACTTACAGCACCTTTAATTAGCTATTAGCTACCATTAAAATTTTGCTAAATGAGGCCCCCAAAAACCTCCAATTCTCTTATCAATATCAATAATGAATGTTATGTATAACATTTTATTAAGCATAAAATTTGATTCGTTAATTTCGTTTCAGAAACTTTCTCAATAAACAATGACAAAAGTTTTCTTTAAACTTAAGATTGAACAAAACAAAAAAGGAATCTTAAAAACTAAAGGAAATTATAGACTTAAAAATAATAAAAAATAAGATAAAAAAAATTCTTCAATAATCATAGCTTTATTTTTTTCCATACATAAATTCCTCCGTAATAAATTAAATGAAAAAATTTTGAGAAAGGGGAAAAAGTCGATTAAATAATCATAAAAAAAGTTCAATATAAGGAAATTCAATTCACGTGATTTTTAGAAGCATCAAAATTAAATTTATAATACAAAAAAAAATATGAAAATCTGTGCATATATTGTGGCTGTGTTATGGAAAATAAAGTAAACAATAAAAAAGGTTGAGAGAAAAATTGTTCAAGGAGGATGGAGTGCCTATTATTTTTTTTTCATATCCAGCTACAGGCTAAACTCAAGAAGCAACCAATAAAAATTGAAATTTAATGATGATTAAATATCTGTATATCCGTATATATTCAGCATTTATATATGTAATTTTTTTTTCATGTGTAATTATGTATATATGTAATGTGAGGACTTAAATGACTGTCGACTCACCACCGCCGATGCCATTTAGTCGAATCGAGTCGTAATTTGTTGCTGTAACTGACATTGGTCCTATGTTAACCGCTTTATGCGTTGACGCAAATTGATTCTCTAGTCCCGGCGTTTGTGGTGACTCGAGTGGTTTTGTACCTACAAATGAGCTTTCTAGCCAACACCTAAAATGGAAGGGATGAAAAAAATTATTAAAAATTTGAATTTAATGCTCGATTTTAGGTTTGAGAGATCTTTTTGAGTCTACTGATATTTTTTGATTATTTTACAACCCACACCCTCTAAAACTCACCTTGTACTTGGGCTAACAGAGCGGCTTCTTGATCCTCTATTTGTTTGATCATTTACATAATGCACAATAGCTGAAGTAACTTCTTTTATTGATGATTGAATCTCTGGCGTCGCTACTGGTTGCTCTGCCTGTTTCTGTGACATTAATGATGATGCCAACCTTAAAAACACAGTCAAAATTGAAATGTTAAGAATGTCAAAAATTGCAAGTGTCTATGTCAAAATAAAGAAAAATGCAGAAACTCACCTCTCATGTGCAGTTCTTGGTTGATTGAGTTTCTCTTGACTCCTCCATCCCAGATATGGTTTACGGAACGAATTTCTAATTTCACTTGCTTGCGATGTTGATGACACTACTGATTGGCCTGACGTTGTACTAGCGTAGGCTGCATTACGAACAAATGAGCTACGCGCTGATACACTTGGCGATGTTTGACTTGAATTAAGATGTGAGGTAGACCATCTGTTAGTAAAATAGGAGTTGATGAGTGTGGTCGGTGAAACATAAAATTGCTTCTTTTCTATTCTTACCTTGAAAATCCAGTTTGTCCCCCATGATGACTATGTGCCGACGGACTCAACATAACCGGACTTCTATCTGATCTATTCGACCCTAATGAGCTTAATGACGTCGTCTTTGAATTGAGTCCTTGCCATCGTCCAATATCTGAGTTTCTTTTCTTAAGCATACCCGACACATCAGCATTTTTATAGTATGATGTATTAGCTGATGTATTGTGACCTGTTGCACTATATTGCTTATACCAATCGGGAATATTGAGCTTCTGTAATGATGCCTGTACACGCAATTGATGCTCACTTAACGTAACATTCGATTCTCTCGCTTTTTGGAGCTCATTTTCAGGTGGCTGTAGAAGAAGAAAGAAAAAGAATAATCATGAAATTCTCTGCGGTAAATTGAATCATTACGTATAATAAAATTGAATTGTATTATTGAGCCATAAAATATGTCAAGTTCTTATCAGTACATAAAAATCTCTTGTCTACATAATTTGAAGATGTCTATTATTGTAATCATCATCTTCAAAAATGCGTAAACATCGGCAAATTGACTTTGAGATATAAAAAACATGAATGAGAAATGTTTGACTTGTAAGGAGGGTAGAAGATGTTTGGTGCGATGAAAGCAACTCATCAACGTAGGATCGTAAATTTTTATTTTGCTATTTTTAGCAAATGTGAGTACATCTTCAATATTTTTATGTCAATATTATCGAGTCTTATTTATTGAGTGAAATTTCTAGAGAGAGAACAGCTTGATATGGGTCAAGTGATGTGGGTATATGATGCAATTTTACAGAAATTTAAGACTTGAATTACATTCATATGCTCGTTCCGTCCCACTTCATCTTCAATCGAAAAAATCAATTTCAATAAGCAACAAGGAAGACATAAAAGTACCACAAAATGTCCACTAAAACAATCAACAGCATAAAAAAGAATCCCAAAAACTGTCCATTATCTCGTCCCGTATGTTACCTCAAAGAAACTCGTAAAGTAGATGTTGAAAGAGTTTGAAGCTGTCTCGTCAATTGGCGTCGACAAATCACAATCCGTCTCATATTTAGCCATAAAAATTACATTAATTCTCATCGACTTTGTCACTCCCGTCGTCTTATCGACAAATTTGACATGCATTTGCAATTGAATCTGATTGGACTGAACGACAGACAACTCTACATTCTCAGTAGTGCAATTATTGATTTTTTTAGAGTCGAAAGTCTTGTTGAACACAACTAGAGACGGCACCGTATTGAGCTTTAGGTGGTTCATTTTACGGCCACCAAGTGTGAATGCATTATCGCTCATTAGACCGTTGATTGTAAACAGCAAGCTCATTCCGAATTGATTAACAATTCTTTCGAGTTGCATTAGTATAATTGAGTCCTTCAATTTTCCTTCCTTTACGATTTTGTTCAGCATACATTCTTGCTGCTTATCGCTATGCACATTCTTTTCATTAATTGAATTATTTATGTCCTTGATGAAGCACTTGTTTTGATTTTTATTGGCACTTGATGTGTTTTTGATTAGTCCATGCATTCGACGACAATTGACCTGATTTCTTTCCATATCAATTGAAGACTTGTCCATTATTTTTGATATGCCAGTTGGTGCTGAGAAGGATTTTGTCAAAAATCCGCCGGCATGTGGTATGTCCAATTTACTAAACATTGTGATTTTTTCCTTAACAGAATTTTTCGGCACAATTTCCGTTGCTTTCATCAATTTCCGCTTCTCATTCTCGTCATTCTTACAAGCTTGTTCCAATTTCTCTCGTTCGAATTTCGATAGAATGCGTCTATTTAGCCTGCCAACTTTATCAAAACTTCTTGTCGACTCCAAATCACTGTCACAGTAAAAATAGTCAATATCTGTAAACTCTACACAATTATCCTTGCTGTAATAATTGATTTTAACTCGATTAAATTCATTCATAATCTTATCGACTTGATTTTTATGTAGGACAGCTGGACTCGAACATGGTGCATTAGGTTTCTTTACAACACCACGAATAACAGGCTTTGAGTCTTTATTTTCAGCATCAAATAATTTCTTAAAACTTCTCTTTCTTATTTTTGATTGAGCATCATCCTTATTTAATTTACTAGATGCATCATCAGATGGTAAATGATCAATATCATCGAAATTAAATTGCACATCTTCCTCAAAATACGAGAACATTTGGCTAATGTTATTTTTCATCTCATTACACTTCTCATCTAATTCCTCATAATCATTATCATCATTATCATCATCATTAATTCTTATTGAATTGTCTATGTATGGCACTTGAATACAATAATTTTTGATCACTTTCTCTCGATTCTTTCGCTTTTTATTGGACTCGTTGATTGTATCGAGACAATTGAGGAAATTTGTAAAATCTTTTTCATTAAATGAGTCAACGTGGATGGTAACAAATGTTTTTTCAAGCTGATTATCATCATCAGATTCATAATCCTTGTTAGAATAACCGCCAAATGATTGATTAAGCACTTCCATTTTTACTTCCGTATTTATCTCGTGTATTCACAAAACTGATTTTTTTTTTTGTTAATTTGAATAGAAATTCATCTCAATCTACTCTCATTTAAGGTTTATTGCTAATTTATCTCATAGATGCATCATCCAATTGTTTGATGGAATTTGCTTTCAACTCGAAAAAATAAATTTCACTTTTTTTCTTTCTTTTTAAAGCGCACAGCTTTTATGAGCAATTACGAATGTGGCTAATAAAAAGAGGTAATTTTTTGTTTAACAATTTTTTTTTCTATATATTTTTTTTATTTAACAATTGCCAATTGCGGGCTTGCACTCTCTGCAGATTTTAAAACGAGACTAACGCGAGGCCGTTTTGTTGATGTTTCCTGAAACCGCTTGTCAACAATCTTACGATTTTTGTCTCACGTTTAGTTTCTATGTAAACATGTAGAATTTACTCATGTGTGTAGGTAGTTGTCCTTTTTTCTTACTCTCTCATTCCCTCTCTCGAGCAGGTCATTTACATATTAATTTGCGACAAATTGGACTGAGTAATAATACACAGAAAGATACTAATCTTATATCTCATAACGCCAATTCTCACATTGTCAAGCGAACCGAAAAAAAAAATAATAATAAACTGTCGTCATGATTACATGACAGAATGATGAGAAGGAGAGAAAAGGGTGATAAACTTTGCCAGGTAGGTCATTAGATTGGAAACTTTTTTTTTAGATTCTTCTTTATTCTTCCTATTTTTTGTGACATCAATTTGAACGGACGAAAACTTTTAAAAAGTTATTTTAAAGAATTTTTAATGGACTTGATAATGAAAAATTGGAAAGGTTAATTTTTGTGACGTTTTTAGGATCATTGAATGAGTTATTTTGCGGGGGTTAAAGTGAAATTTAATTCAATTGGGTGGATTTAATTTATTGTGAAGTTTTGGACGCAATTGAATGGAATATTATTGATGATTGTTTATGAAACTCTAATTTTCTTATTCTTAATAATCACCAGAATCGAACAAAATCTTTCTAGTGACATAAAGAGTCCTTTAGACCATATGGAGCCATTCGTAGTCAACCAAAAATTCCAGTAATCATGAAAACTTGAATTCTGACTCTTTACACCAAAATCATTGATCACTCAATTCCACCTTCATCACAACTTAACCCTCAAAATAATTGCAAGAAAAATCCAATAATTTCCTAATCAAACAGTCTAAAGACATTCTCACTAAAATATTCATCATAAAATTATCCATCTTCTTGTTCCAAGAAATTAATTCAAATGAGAAAAAAAATTCCATTCCACGTGCAAAAATGCCAACTGAACTAGAATCGAAATAATCAATAAAGTAAATTATTTTTTGCCCCAACTGTCAATTATTTCCATCAGTTCCAATAGAAAAATATGTTAAAGGAGCCCATTCAAGCCATTCAGTCTTGATAGAATACTCATCATCGACAATGACACTTGGGATTTTAGAGCACGATTCAATAACATTTTATACTTTATAGCCACTAAATCATTCCGTTTGTATCCCTACAAGTATAATTGACACATACGTCCTTCTGTTGAGAGAAACATGCGTCCTTCTATCTCCTAAAAGCCAATAATTTACAGTCAATGGTGATGTACTTCATGAATTTTTCATTATTGACTCTATGCTAGATTTGCCTTTTCATTTGAATATTGGATTATTTTTCTCATGAGAAAATTTTGGCAGTTGGGGATTTAATTTGAATTTCCTTTGAAATTTGTCTTTTGAGGGGCATTTGTGGATGATGATTTTTATGGGTTTTAGGGTGATGAGAGGCATGTTGATTGCATATTTGCATTTCTATTTGGAATCGTACTAGCACAGAGTCAAGCTAATACAGCATCAAACTAGGATACTCAATATGTACCTGCTTGATGCAAATTCCCTCAAAATTTCTTTCATTCCAAGAAAATCGAGCTCAATCAAATTCCAATCCGACAAAACCACGCTAAATTCCATTTACTTCATTATATGTCACGTTAATTTTATCTCCTAGTCTTAAATCCTACAACTATGTGAAATAAATAATCATCTATGGACATAGGCGTTAGAAGACGTGTTGCAGTGCAATTAATTTACATAATAATACTTCGTAACATAATAAATAACAGAAATCGCAAGAGACAATTTCACGACAGCAGCAGTAAATTTTCTACCTGCATTTTAATAATTTTTTTATTTCAATTCCACACTCTTTTTTTTCTTGCATTTGTGTTTGTAACTCAACATAAATGCTCGTCATAAGCATCATCATCGTCATCAACCGTCGAATAATAAGTACAGTTAAACAGTCATGAAGAAAAAAAAAAACATTTTTTTGATGTTTTTGAAGAAGTGTTGCTCGAAATTTCATTTTAATTAATTAATGTGAACTCGCTCGATGAACCCTCAATCGCTCTTAATGTTCCGTTTCGAATGAGATTCGAGTTATCTTAATTGATTAATTAATTATGAAGGCATCGACATCGATGGAATCTAATGGATTTTAATTTCTTTTGAAAATTAAAATTGCTTTATTTCCTAAATTGTAAGTGATGAATTTATCTTCTTTCTGGTTTTGATCCTGAATGGAATTAAGTTTAGTGATTTTATAGCGAATTTTACGGATCGCTTGGGGTAATGAAGAATTTTATCTGTTTCTGAAGAATTGCTGATCTTCTTTTTAAGAAATTTGAGGAAGTTTTACGGGTAAGAAGATGTTACTTGAGGCTATAAGTGTTTCAATGGAATTTTGGCACATAATTGGAAAGATTTTTGAAATTGACGACTGAATAAATTTTAAATGATTGTGCTACTAATTCGATTACCTGAATTTTAAATGATTTAAGAATATCTTTTTGAACTTCAGAAACTAAAGCTAGAAAGTACTCAATTAGTATATTTTAGGCTCTGATCTGAGAGAATTCTTACAATAAAGGTTAATAATTTGATTAATTTGAACGTAAATCGAAATCTGGATCAAATATTTTCATTTACAAAATTTGGTAACAATAATGTTTTGGGAATTCAGACTTTAATTGTACTGTCGAAAGCTTATATGAATGGTCCTTGTTATAATGGCAACAATTCTTATCTTGGAGTTCAAACCCACATCCTCACAACACAAGAAATTATCAAATTTCATGTCAGTTGCATAGCCAAGCGACTCCAGAGGGCTTTTTATAGCTTGCAAATAGCACTTATGACCAGATTCCACTCTGCTCAAACACCACAGACTGTGACATCACTGATGATCCATAAACACTTCCATTTTATTCCTAGCATTAAGATAGTAAGAACATAATCGAATTTCGAGCTAGCTCAAACCTGATGTAATAGTCACAATGTTCATTATTTAGTTCCACGACTGACTAAACCTCAATAACATCAATTATTCATTCATTTCTACAAAAATACACAAAAAACTATACAGATTGACCTTTCAAGCCAGTCAACTGCAAGCTTCTTAACCCTTAAAAAATTCCATATTATTCACCCCAAGGCCGCAATCTTAAAATCGATACAAAGTCACTCCATAAAAAATTAAACAAAAACTTGCAACTTTTTTTTTTCATATAAATTTTATTTCCTCCATCCAGTTTTCACAAACATTCCAGACACATTCTCGCAAAGCAACATGGAAAAGTAATACGACATGGGTCAACATAATTCTGTTTTTACTCCATTCACCTGATGTACACAGCTATAGTGAAAATAATGTCATTTCATTCATATCCATTAATTTTAATGTTCCGTCATGATAAATATTTCATAATTCTATTTTATCATTGCACTGTATGTCCTTTAATTGTCCACTGATGTCCTTCGCTTTTTTTTCCAGTTGTCATGCTTAATAGAAAAGCATGCAATATGCAATCCGTAAACACACACAATAAGCAGAATTAGAACTCTTTTTTACTAGAAGGTTTCTGTGTGAATTTTTCATGAATAAATGATGATGAATCATCACGCGATGCCACTCTACTTTTTTTTGCAGCACAAGACAAGTCAGTGTGTATGCAATGGGAAGTGAAAAAAAAATTCTTTTTGCTTTGCACGTTTTGCGCTGTTATGTAAGTTCGTTATCGAATAGTTTTTAGTAATGGGGAAGCCGTCAAAATAATAAAAAGAAGGCGAAGAATTTATTGAATATGACAAAAAAGGGAGCCTTGGAAGGAGTCATTCATAAATGACGTATATTTAAAAAATTGTGTTTTTTCGTCATTTTGCCACGAAACTTTGTGACGTTATTTGGAAACTAGCGTCTCACAATGACAAACCTCAAAAATTGGATATCATTTATGAACATCCCAAAGACTCACTATTCCTGCATCGTCAAGTGCCCCACAAAAAAATAATTGTAGGAAAGAAATTTTTTTCGTATTGATTTTTTTTCTTCGCACAATGAATCAATTGAAGACCAACAACAACTTCTGGCAACGCTGCATTTTTAATTGTCTTTCACACTTGAATTTAATTTTTTTTATTTACAATTTATTTCTCTTAGATACACATTAGATTCTATCAAAATACATACACACAATGCGAGCATTACGTATCGCATTAATTAAGTTCAATTGCTATCGCATGAGAATGCTTCGTAGATAGAGATATTTATTTATTACAGTTCCGTTTGTATATATGCAAGTTGACTATTTTGTTTTATTTTAGTAATCATGATTATTTATTTTTTTTTTGGGGTCACATACTGACTGCACACATGAGACACTCTAAAAATCTCGTCGAGTCAATTGACACTCCTCGAAAATGAGACAGAGACATCGAATAATTTATTTTCGGATTAGCTGCTTTTGATGTTCACTGCCACTAATTTTATTTAGCGCACGTATGAATAAGAAGGACTTAAGTGGACTTTCTTATGTGATTCATGAATAATTGAGCAGGCAAAGGACTTTGTTCGGGATTTTCTAAGGTTGTAAAGTTGGAGATTTTTGCTGTCTAGAAGATTTTTTGTGGCGTTAGGATAAATTGACTG